CTCTTATTTTAATTTTCTTCATATTCAGCATGAAACTTGCACAGGAGCAATTGATGGTCTATTCCACAGTCTGCTCCAGTCTTTTTTTGACTGATGATATTGCACATTTCCATCATCTGTTCCAACAAATGTAGTAAATTTGATTCCTGTGTACTCTACCTGGTGAGGTTCAGGTGTATGGCATTTTAAGGTGTTGAAAATGGCATTTGCAATGAATAATTTGTCTTGCAAAATTCTATTATGTGATCTTCAGCATCATTTCTATCACCAAGGCAATACTTTCCAACTACTGATGCTTCCAAGTTTTCCCCCTGATCTTTGCATTCCAGTCACCAGTAATTATTAATACATCTTGTTTACATGTTTCATCAATTTCACACTAACAAAGTTGGTAGAATTCAATTTCATCATAACTGGTATGAGTGGTTGGAGTGTAAATTTGAATAACAGTGGTATTAACTGGTCTTCCTTGTTTTGTTGTTATTAGGTTCATTGAATCCATTCTAACCCATGGTGACCCTGTATAGGGTTTCCCAGGAGCAGCTGGTGAGTTTGACCCGCTGACCTTGTGGTTCAAAGTGACTTCGCAGTTTAGCGCATTTAGCCCATAATGCCACACCAGGACTCCATGGTCTTCCTTGTAGGCGTATGGATATAATCCTATGACAGATAGTGATGTACTTCAATATTTGTTGTTAAGTGATGTCGAGTCGGTTCCAATGCACAGAAACCCTGTATAATGTTTCTGAGGAACAGCTGGTGAGCTTGATCTGCTTACCTTGTGGTATAAACCAACCTTGCTGTCCAGCGCATTAATCCAAAGTGCCACACCAAGACTCCATACTTCAAGATGGATCTTGAAATATTCTTTTTGAAGATGAATGTGACACCATTTCTTCTTGAATTTGTCCTTCCCAGCATGGTAAATCATATAATTCTCAGATCCAAATGACGCATATCAGTCCATTTCAACTCACTAATACCTAGAATATTGTATATATGTTCCATTTAATTTTTTTTTTTACAAATCCTTATATTCATTGATTCATAGTTTGTACATTCCATGATCTGATTACTAATGTGTGTTTGTAGCTATTTCTCATTTTGAGTTGTTCCCCATCAGAAAATGAAAGTTCTGAAAGCTTCACTCCATTCGAGTCATCCTTGGCAGCTCTATTTTGCGGAGGCAGCTTTCCCCCAGTCATATTTTGAGTGCCTTCCAACTTGACAGGATCACCTTCCAGGATTATATCTTACAATATTCTTGAGTTAATCATAATATTTTCATTTTCCGGCACTACATCTTACAATGTTCCACTGCTATTGATAATTATTTTCAGTAGCTAAGCATTCAGAATTTATCTGCATTTCCTTCTTCCTAGACTGTCTTAGTCTGGAAGCTCTGCTGAAACCTGTCTACCATGGGTGAAACTGCTGGTATTTACAATAATGGTGGAATAGCTTCAAGTATCATATAACACATAGGTCACCACAGTACAATAAACTGACAGATGAATGGTGGCTATTTCTTATCATAGATATAATTAAAATATATCTATAAAATAAGGAGAGCTTAACTTAGTCAAGTAAGTGCATGACTGCTAACTGACAGTTTGGTGGTTCAAACTCACCAACTACTCCATGAGAAAAAGATGTCATACTCTGCTTTTGTAAAGATTTACAGCATTGAAAATCTACTCTGGTCTTTAAGGTTCTTTAAGGTAGCTATGAGTTAGAATCGACTCAATGATTTTATATAGATATATGTTGTTGTTAAGTGCTGTCTAGTTGGTTCCAATCCATAGACCCTATATTGCAGGGTTTCCAAGGAGCAGCTGGTAAGCTTGACCTGCCAACCTTGCAGTTCAAACTGACTTTGAAGTCCAGTGCATTAACTCACAGTAACATAGCAGGACTCCATATATATACATGATATATATATATATATATATATATATATATATATATATATACACACACACACACACACATACATACATATTGTTGTTCAGTTCTGACCCATAGTGACCCTTATAGGCTGAAGAGCAGCTGCTGAGCAAATGGCTTTGCAGTCTGGCGCATTAACCCACAGTGCCACACTAGGACTCCATCTATATATATGTGTGTGTGTGTATATATATAATATGTATGTTATATATATAAACACTTAAAAAATACAAGCATGGAGACTAGTCTTACATAGAATTATCAATCCATTTATGCAACCCAGTTTGCGCATGCTATTCCCTTTATGGCCTGGTTTCCGCATTCTCATTATCCAGGTCTCAGTCTAGAAGCCATTTCTCTTAGGCTGCCTTTGCTAATATGTAGCTCAGGATTAAGTATTCCTCTGCATTTCTCTAAGTCAAATACCCATCATTTTGTATATTGTGATGACGCTTTCTTGTCTGTATTCACCAGTAGACTAAAGTTTTAATGAGAGGAGTCATTTTTATTTGAATAGGTTTTATTCAGTTAAGTGATGCTGGTGGAGGTCATTTTATATTTCTTCATCATGATACCTATGATGTCAACATTTTTCAAATACTTAAGAAAATTGTAAGAACATCCATCTCCCAACAAAATGCTAAAAATATCCTTTGCTTCATTCTTATTCATTCTTGCATTCAATATTTGATGCCGTGACCTCAGTATAGAAAAAGTATAGAATAGAAATAGAAATCCTTCATAACTGTGGAGCTTATTAAGGCCATCGAGAAGGGTTCTTTTACGCTGTAAAGAGAATAGGAGGTCATTTTCTCAAGATGCATGACAGACACATATATAGAGTTAAATTTCTTCAAGTTCTGTTTGTGCTCATCTTGCTTATTCCATGAGACATCTGTTGAAATTCTATGCATTCTGAATGATTTGGTATCAGTTATCTGAATGATTTGGTATCAGTTATCTGAATGATTTGGTATCAGTTATCTGAATGATTTGGTATCAGTTATCTGTCTAGGGTTGCCTAGTTCCAATGAAAATACATGAA